GCAGACAATCATACTGTCTGTTAAAACACATACAGAGACCAGTCTTGAAAATTGTGAGTGGACAAAACCACTTTAGTTATCAAGCAAATCTTAATTTAGCTTATTTTGTAAGACAAGAGAGGCTCACTTGAACTTCACTTCTTGCTTATGCTTCTGAAAATCATAAGTGAAACTTAAATTGTTCCCCCAAGTTGATATGTGGTAGCCACTAACCAATTCCCTTTCATTTAAGAAAATTCTAATGTAACCAATCACTGTGAAGCATAGTCCCTGGCTCTGCACTATATGTCGCTTGACAACAACAGACCTCTGAGCCTCATCCCATGTTATGGTTTCAGTGCTCCCACTTTGCAAACCATTTGGTATGTGCACAACAGAGTTTTACGAATTACTACTTCAGTGATTCACTGGTTTTACTTGTTTTTTTTTTTTGAACATTTGACATCTGTGGATAATGCACACAAATTCTTTCCCCCCCAGCTGGAGTTGCTCCCTTCTCTTGATGTGTCTGCCTGCCTTCACAGACTCAGTGCTCATCCTTGCTGCACACATGTCTTGTGCTAGCCTCACGCAATGACTGCTTGCGTTTCCTTTACATGTTCTTTTGTGCCTCTGAGTCTTGCAAGTGTCATTTCTCTGCCTCCAGTCCCCATTCCCCCAGCCCCACCCCATCCCAACAAATGTCACCTTCCTTAACTCAACCCAGGAGGGACAATTTTTTCACTCCTCTGAGCCTGTGTGTAAGCTTATCTATCATCTATCAATCTATCATCTATCTATAATATACTGTACATAATGTGCCATGTTTCAGGCTTTTTCTCCCTCATTGGAGTGTGAGCACCCCGAGGTTAATGACTGTTAGATCCATCTTTGTATTATTCCCAATGACTAGCACACCAGTGCCTGACACGCAGAAAGTGTCGGAAGAGGCTTGCTAGTGAGATGTTAAAGTTGTGTCTGAAGCTTGGTTGGTAGGTGCTGGGAGGGCAGTTACCCCCCCTCCACACACACACAGAGTTGAGTCCTTAGCACTGAGCTCTGGTGCTTGATTCCATCAGGTCTTCACATTAATCAAGCTCACTGAAATCTGATTTAGAAATTGGAAGACCAGTGGGAAATAATAGAAAATGTATATACTGGTCTCTGCCCCCCCGGGGTCCTGACACAGAGCTCTTAAAATTCTTGGAATTTCCCTGGGTGACTGGAGTGGGCTTTTGTTCTATTGAGGTGACGCTGGGTGGGCTCCTGACAGCTTCAGATTAGGGGCTGGTCGCCAGAAAGACCAAGCCATGAGGAGGAGCTTGGAACTTTCAGCCCCATGTTCTTTGGAGAGGGGGTGGGGCTAGAAGTGGGGTTGCTAATCTGTCATGCTTATATGATGAAGCCTCCCTAAAATTCCCAATAGTATGAGGTCTGGAAGCTTCCAGGTTGCTGAACACATGGGGTTGCTGGGAGAGTGGCCAGCCCGGCGAGGGCAGAAAGTTCTGTGTACCTTCCCACATACCTTGTCCTCTGCACCACTTCCATCTGGATCTTCATCTGTGTCCTTTATCACACCTTTTATGATAAACCAGTAAAAGGAATTCAGTGTTGGGGCACCTGGATGGCTCAGTTGGTTAAGCGTCTGCCTTCGGCTCAGGTCATGATCCCAGGGTCCTGGGATCGAGCCCCGCATCCGGCTCCCAACTTGGCAGGAAGCCTGCTTCTCCCTCTCCCACTCCCCCTGCTTGTGTTCCCTCTCTGTCTCTCTGTCAATTAAATAAATAAATAAAATCTTAAAAAAAAAAAAAAAAAAAAGGAATTCACTGTTTCCCTGAGTTCTGTTGAGCCATTCTAGCAAATTATCAGAACCAAGGAGGGACTGTGGGAATCCAGCTTTGCAGCCAAGTCTGACAGAAGTTGTGGGTAATCTGAGGACCTATGACTTGTGGCTGGTGTCTGAAGTGGGGTGTCATTCTTGTGGGACTGAGCCCTTCACCTGTGAGGTCTGCACTAAGTGCAGGTGGTGCCAGAATCGAATCGCATTGCAGGACACCCAGCCAGTGTCAGGGAACTGGTTGGTGTGGGAGAACCCCACACATCTGGGGTCAGGAGCATTGTGAGTTGTGGTAGTGGTGTGAGGGTAGAGGGGAGTTTTTCATATAAAGAGTTTATGAACTTATACTGTCCCACTGCCTCTACCTGGGGAAACAAGACCAGCCACGGGTCCATGCATGACCCTCCAGAAACTGAAGGCCCTGGAGACCTCAAAATGGATCAGAGAGTTGTCTGGTGAACACAGCAGAGCAGAGCTTAACCATCCACTTAGCCAAGCCCTCCTATCCCTTGTACTGTTTATTTTCTTAGTGTATTTTAAAAAGTTGATTATCTTCTTTTCCCTAAAATGTATATAAAAAGGAAACTTTATATTATTCCTATTCATTTTAAATCAGGGTCACTTGAGAAAAATAGAAAGTAACTGAAAAAAGAATATTAAATTTAGCTGGAAAATTTGCCTGCTAAAGGTGTTGGGCCCCAAGCCTACTCTACCACTATTCAGAAGTAAGATTAAGTGTTAGCAAAGTGGTGGATTAGCACCAAACCGAGGATTTTTTCTGGATCATCATCAGTACACATGACATGTGATCTCCAGTAAAAGGTGTCCAGATGTAGGACTCTGTGCTTTTTGTTACCACTGCTGACAAATACCTGGTTAGTGTCCTGGCTGAAGGGCTATTTTATTTTCTGATAAGATTTAGAATTAAAAATAGAAATGTTTAAGATGATTTAAAAAACAAACATTTATACACAGAGACAGTCTGGAAGGGTATCACCCACTTGTCAATGTTTACTGCTGGATTTTTGTGTGTGGAATAATTTTAGAAGACCTTAGAAAAGTTGCAAAGATAATACAGGTAATACAGAGAGTTCTTGCATTACCTGGTTTCTAATGTTACATCCCCCTGATCTTATGTTACCATGGTTCATTTGTAGAAACTAAGAAACACACACTAGTACATTACTGTCAACTAAACTCCAACCTTCCTTTGGGTTTCCCTAAATTTTCCATTAATGCCTTTTTTTTGGTTCGAGGATCCAACCTAGGATCCCACATTGCATTTAGTCATGATGTCTCTGCTGGCTTGTGACACCGTCTTTTCTTGATTTTCATGACCTTGACAGTCTTAAGAACGGGACATTTCGCTGAATGTCCCTCAATTGGAGTTTGTCTGATTCTTTTTTTTTTTTTTTTTTTCTCATGATTAGACTCTGGTTATTGAGTTTTTGGAGAGAACACCACAGAGGCAAAGTATCCTTCTTGCCGCAGTGTAATAGGGGCGTGACAAGCACATGACCTCTCACTGGTGATATTAAACTATGGTGACTTGGTTAAAGTGGTGTCGGCCATATCTAGTGGAAATGAGTCAGCCCACGCTACAGGGGGCAAGGGAGGGAAGAATTACACTCCGCTTCCTGGGTCAGAGGACTGAAGGAAACTTACTTATTTCATCTATTATTTTCCAGATGGGATCTACGTAAACACCCAAAGAAATGTTCCAGATGCTGTGCGGGCTGTCCTGAGATCCTACTGGGCTTCACAGGTGCTGGGGTAACACGGGGATTTCCCTGATAACTGCTTCCCACCTTTTGGTCCTTTTGTGGAATTGCCAGTATTTCCCAAAGTTGTTGCACCGTCTCACATCCCCACCAGCAGTGTGTGAGGGGTTTTCTCCATATCCTCACCAACACCTGTATGACTTTTTTTTTTTTAAAGATTTTATTTATTTATTTGAGAGACAGAGAGTGCGAGTGAGAGAGCACAAGCAGGGGGAGCAGCAGAGGGAGAGGGAGAAGCAGACTTCCCGCTGAGCAGGGAGTCTGATGCGGGGCTCGATCCCAGGACACTGGGATCATGACCCAAGCTAAAGGCAGCTGCTTAACCGACTGAGCCACCCAGGGCCCCTGTTTGTTTTTGTTTTTTTTTTTACCTTTTTGATTCTAGCCATCACGTGGGAATGAGGATACCCTGTGATTCTGATTTGCACTTCCCTGATGACTAATGATGTCAAGCATCTTTTCACGTGTTTATTAGTCATTTGTATATTTTCTTTGGAGCGACATCGATTCAGATCCTTTGCTCATTTTCAAATTGGGTTAGTTGTCCTTTTATTATTGAATTATAAAAATTCTTTATATACTCTGGATACAAGTCTCTTTTTAGGTATATGATTTGCAAGTATTTCACCCATTCTTTTTGCTTTCCTGATGGTGTCCTTTGCAGCAAAAAAGTTTTAATTTTGGTGAAGTCCAATATATCTGTTTTTCTCTGTTAAAGGCTTTTGGTGTCATAACAAAGAAACCATTGCCTAATGCAAGGTCACAAAGATTTACACCTATGTTTTCTTCTAAGAGTTTTATAGCGTAGCTCTTACATTTAGGTCTTGATCCATTTTGAGTTAATTTTGTATACAGTGTGAACTTCATTCATTTTCAGGTGGCTATCCAATGGTCCCAGCACCCTTTGTGGAAAAGATCATTCTCTTCCCATTGAATGATTTGATGCCTTTGTCAGAAATTAAGTGACCATATATGTGAGGATTTATTTCCGGTTTATCTAGATTATATATAAATCAATATTTCATTGATCTATATGTCTATTCCAGTCCCACACTGTCTCAATTACTACAGTTTTTAAGTAAGTTTCAAAATTGGGAAGCGTGAGTACTCCAGCTCTGGTGCTCTTTCTCAAGACTGTTTTAGCTATTCTAGTTCCCTTGGATTTCCACATGAATTTTAGGATCACCTTGTCAATTTCCACAAAGAAACCAACTTGAATTTTGATGGGCACTGCATTCATCACTTTGCTTTTTGATAGCACTTCAAATGAATATGCTAGTTTATGTTCACACCACAAAATTTCACCTCAATAGCAATGCGGTCCCAAATTTTCCCGTCAAACAATTAGAAAGCTTAAAAAGACATGTTTGTTTAGGGTATCACATATGAACACAGGGTTTTAGTTTGTTTGATGACTTTATTTCCAACAGTTGTTACTGCTCATTAGTCATAAAAATCATAAAAATCATCAAAATCATCAGCGGATGTGTTGTGGTTTCTAGGACGTAACGCAGCTTCAATTTCTGAGTTACTGTCATCAGACTCACCCCAGAAGGCTGGAAGAGAAAACCAGGCAGCTATTTAACATCTCTCCATCTGAACAGCTGGCCTTCATCAGCCGGACAGGTTCATCAGAGCGCTGGCCTGCAAAAGGCCTACCAGGGACACCAAGGGATGAACCTGACAGATGCATCTGGCATGCGTGTCAGTACTGCACAAATTCACACATTTCAGTGTTTTTTATGGAAAACACTGCAGAATATTCCCTTCCCTTTTCGTTGTGCCCAGCTCCTTACTGCAGGATGGGGCTTTAAGGCCAGGATTACCACAGAAGCAGGGTTAGGTGGGGGTTTCATCAGGCCTGGGCCCGCCTCAGCTCAGCCGCTCTGGCACTTTGATCCCCTCTGGTCTCCACAAGAGCAGAGAGGAGAAGGGAAGGCGCGGGGGAAGAAGAGCTGGCCGTGGGTGCAGTTGGTTTACTTGGGAGGTGATCCTGGGAACAATGGGAGGGGCTGGAAGAGCAATGCAGAAGAGAGGAAGCCAAGAGAGGGTGTGTTCATGAGGGGGCGGGCAGTGTACAAGGGGGCTCAGTCCTGTAGGGCACCCTCTGAGAAACTCAGAACTCTCCTCAAACTGTCCCAACAAAGAGCAAGGAGATGGGGTTATTCACTGACCAACTTCCATTTCTTGTTGGTTGAGGTTTATTCTCAAGCAGGGCATCTACTCCCTGGCCCTGGGGCTGGGCCTGCTCCCGCGGCCAGACAAAGCTCTGAGGCAGATGTGCAGAGCTGCCTGTCCCCGCTGAAGGCCATGGGCGCTTCTGAGAACTGCGCTGTGATCGCCAAGGCGGCCGGACAGGATGTGGGGGGACACGGTCTGCTACACTGACCATCTCCATGACCACCGATATCTCCTTGGCACTCACTGCCTGCCATTCTGTGATGACTTCTTATATCCGGCCCATTTCATCCTTGTACCAACCTGGGAATGCCTCCATCTACTGAGCAAACAGGCGGAGACTGGCCCCAATCACAGCATTAATGGATGTTCAAGCTACCAGTCCCACCCGGGTTGTCAGACTCACACCCATGCTCTCGATCACTAGGGAGGGAGACTAGGCTGACAGGAGTAGAGCGAGCCCAAGCTCTGCAGGGGACATGCCACAGTGTTGGCATGCAAGGTGGAGGAAATTCTCCCTGTGAGCTGGGGCTTCAAAGCTGAATAGGAGCTTACGGTGCTAAGGAAAAGGGAAGGAACAGCAGGAGCAAAGGCACAGAGGTACAACTGTGGTGTCCAGGCATACCTCATTTTCCTGTGCTTCGCAGAGATTGTGTTTTTTACAAATGGAAGGTCTGTGGCAACCGTACATCAGGCAAATCTATTGGCACCATTTTTCCAACAGCATTTGCTCACCTTGTGTCTCTGTGTCACATTTTGGTAATTCCCTCATTATTCCCAGCTTTTCCGTTATTATTATATTTCATACAGTGACCTGTGATCAGTGATTATGACTCGCTGAAAGCTCAGATGACGGTTAGCATCTTTTAGCAACAAAGTGTTTAATTAATAATTTTTAAATTAACATATTTTAAATTAATTAATGTTAATTAACTTTTTTTTAGACATAATGCTGCTGTACACTTAAGGGACTACAGTATAGCGTAAACACAACTTTTATAGGCACTGGGAGACCAAAAATTTTATTTGGCTTTATTGCAGTAGTCTGGAACCGAATCTGCAATACCTCTGAGGTATGCCTATATTTGGAAAAAGCTGCTTGTGACTCAACCCGAAGAGGACAAGACCTTGGAAGGAACTGAGCTGGAAAAAAGGGAAGGGCCAGACCACAAAGGGAGAAAGTTATAGACTCTATCCTGCACTTAGTGGGGGGCATTAGCAATTTTTCACCAGGAAGGTAAGAAGGTTCAATGAAGTTTTAGATGCTGGTGGCCAGGTGGAGGGCAATCAGGACTTGGGGAGGGGCTGGATGTGAGGAAACCAGTCAAGGAGCCCTGTCATGTCATGAGCAGTGGGTACTTGTGGGGCATTAGCTGTGAGGTTGGGGACAGAGGCAAAAAACATTTCATAGGTAGAATATACCACTGTTGGCAATCAGTTGGATGTAGAGGCCAGGATACCCTGCAAATTCATACTTGCAAACTAGAATGCTGAGCCACATGGCCTGCAGCACCCCTGTGTGTTGTCAGGTCCCAGCCCTGTCACTGAAGAATGGTGCCTCGAGCAGCCTTCCGATCCCCTCAGAGACTACACCACCCCAGGGGTCCCCTCTGTGATCACAGGCACCGTCACAGCCCTTACATGAGGGTGCAGAAAACAAATAAAAGGTCCTCACCAACTCTCGGTTAAAACACAAAATGAACTCTCTTACCTTTAGACTCTAAATTGGTAGTTAATTTCTTTTCATTTTCATGCCTGAAAAATAAAGAAATAGCCTAAGTCCTGAAAAAATGTGACGAACACAGTGATATTTTTACAATGAGCACATCAGCAAAGAAGCATGTGTGGTGCACCGAAGGGCCAGGCATTTTATGCGTGTTCCCCAAGTCTTTTCTTTTTTTTAAAAGATTTTATTTATTCGTTTGAGACAGAGAGATAGAGAGAGAGAGAGAGACAGAGCACGAACAGGAGGAGCGGCAGAAGGAGAGGGAGAAGCAGACTCCCCGCTGAGCCGGGAGCCTGACGTGGGGTTGGGATCATGACCTGAGCCGAAGGCAGACGCTTAACCATCTGAGCCACCCAGGCGCGCCCCCCCCATGCCCCCCACGCCCCCGTACTCCCCAAATCTTTAATTTTTATTGTTATGTTAATCACCATACATTACATTAGTTTTTATTGTTATGTTAATCACCATACATTACATCATTAGTTTTTGATGTAGTGTTCCATGATTGTTTGTGCATAACACCCAGTGCTCCACGCAGAATGTGCCTTCTTTAATACCCATCACCAGTCTAACCCATCCCCCCCTCCCCTCTAGAACCCTCAGTTTGTTTTTCAGAGTCCATAGTCTCTCATGGTTCATCTCCCCCTCCGACTTACTCCCCTTCATTCTTCCCCTCCTGCTATCTTCTTCTTTTTCTTTTTTCTTAACATATGTTCTATTATTTCAGAGGTACAGATCTGTGATTCAACAGTCTTGTACAATAGACAGTGCTCACCATAGCACATATCCTCCCCAATGTCTATCACCCAGCCACCCCATCCCTCCCACCCCCCACCACTCCAGCAACCCTCAGTTTGTTTCCTGAGATTAAGAATTCCTCATATCAGTGAGGTCATATGATACATGTCTTTCTCTGATTGGCTTATTTCACTCAGCATAACACCCTCCAGTTCCATCCACATCGTTGCAAATGGCAAGATCTCATTCCTTTTGATGGCTGCATAATATTCCATTGTGTATATATACCACTTCTTCTTTATCCATTCATCTGTCAATGGACATCTTGGCTCTTTCCACAGTTTGGCTATTGTGGACATTGCTGCTATAAACATTGGGGTGCACGTACCCCTTCGGATCCCTACATTTGTATCTTTGGGGTAAATACCCAGTAGTGCAATTGCTGGATCGTATGGTAGCTCTATTTTCAACTGTTTGAGGCACCTCCATACTGTTTTCCAGAGTGGTTGCACCAGCCTGCATTCCCACCAACAGTGTAGGAGGGTTCCCCTTTCTCCACATCCCTGCTAACATCTGTCGTTTCCTGACTTGTTAATTTTAGCCATTCTGACTGGTGTGAGGTGGTATCTCATTGAGGTTTTGATTTGGATTTCTCTGATGCCGAGCGATGTTGAGCACTTTTTCATGTGTCTGTTGGCCATTTGGATGTCTTCTTTCGTACTCCCCAAATCTTAATAGCAAGAAGAAAATGTAAGGACTGCGGCAGCCAGAGGTATTTGCTGATGCTTTGGTGGGTGGGTCCCTATTGTGACAGAATCACAGGGCCCCTGAGTATATTCCCTGCTTGCTCTGCAGAGACCAGGTCAGACTGCTCCCCGTGGGTGCCGCCCACAGTGCTGAACAACGAGCACATGGTCAGTGAGGCAGAGCACTGACCTCCCATCAACAGCCCTCTCAGAAACACGAACGGGCAAAGCTTTGGCACTTTGAGACAAGCTACAAGTAAAATACTTGAAGTAGAGAATCCAGGAGGGGACACAAGAAGCTGCTGAGGAAGTTAAGACTCATCTCTGTCAAGCCAGTGATGGTAATCCTTAACAGCTTAACAAGGGAGTTCAGGATAAACTCTCAGCATACTTAAATGAATATACTAAGGCATGGTAGAGAAAAACACAAGTATCCTGGACACCGATGTGTAGGCTTCTGGGTAGCACAAAATGCTAGCATCTAGGCATCTCATACCTAGCAATGTGCTCTTGCCAAGGTATTCGCTGGCATTCACATTTACAGATTATTTTATTAAAACAGATTCTGTCCAGCCTTTTAGATGAGTAGAATGAAGAAAAGACAGACGCCAACGTGCACAGTTCCTGCTCTGGCCGGGATCCTGGTCCTTTTGACACAGGAAACCCTGTGAACTCATCTTCTCCCTCCCTATGGCTAACATATGGCTTAAAACCTGCTGTTTGCCATAGCTGCTGTAATTTATGGGTTTGTTGTTTTTTTTTTTCCTGTAAAATAAGCTCCACTCAGGTATCATTTTTCTAGGCTCAATATCTGTCAATGCTTCCTTTAAACTTGGTGCCTGTTTCATGCTCTGCCACAACCACCTAGCAGCCTGCAGCTATTTCCCCAAGCAGAGGGGGCAGCCCCACGGCCACCTGAGAGGGCCTGGTGCTCACCAGCAGCCACGGAGGCAGCAGGGACCCACATGGGTCCATCTGACATGAAGTCCTAGCTGCACCCCCAACACACACACACACACACACACACACTAAATGCAACTACTGGGTTGTCTGTCTACTGTTTACCTAGTTCCCATTTCATGAGGACACTGGTCCAGATGCCAGGGGCAGAGGCGGATTGTGACAATGCTGGTGGGGTAGAGAGCAGTAATTTTCCAGCTGTAATCCAAGTAATGAGAGCTGCAGGGGGAATGGGCAAGAGCGCCAAGGGCTGGGAGAACTGCGAGCACAGGGTGGGTGATGGGTGGCTGCAGGATCCCTGAGAAGGCAGGACACCTCCTGGATTCTGCACTGAAAGCTGGAGCAGACCTCACAGGCCGGGATGGAGGAGGAGAATGTGGTGGGATGTGGTAGCCGGTGAGCGCAGGCCAGATCCCGATGGCCCCGGCCACTTCTCTGAGCTCCAGAAACATGGCCAGTGCTCATGTGCTAGCTCTACTTGGCTGTCTCCAAAGTGCCTTGTGGTCAACATGCCCATCCACGACCAAATTCACAATCTCTCCAGTGTGGTTCCCTTCCCCTGCCAGGCCAGGCCCCTCCTGTCTCAGCCAACGGCACCTGGACCCTCTGCTCCCTCCCCAACCCTTTCCACTCCTGTGCCCTCCTGTGTCCTCCTGCACCCAATCAGACCCTAGGTCCCGCCAATGTACTTCCCAGTACTTCCTGAAGTCCTCGCTCTTCCCTCTGCAATGCTGCTACCAGCCAGCTACACCAGCATCTCTTGCCTGGAATTTGTAACAGCCCCTAGCTGGTGATACCACAAACACCATGTCCCCTATGCTCCATTTTCCACTCGGAAGCAAGAGTGAACTTGTCGAAACACAAACCTAATCACTGCACTTCCTCGCTAAAGCCCCTCGATGCCTTCCCATTGTTTCTTGGCAAAAAACTCTAAATCCTGAACAGCACCTCCAAGGCTGATCCCCAGATTTGGCTGGCTCCTTCTGCTACAGCCTCCCCATCCCTCCCATCCCCCACCGCCACCACTGAGTCCTCATCCCAGCTGCTGTTTCACATGCATCTGTGTAACTAACACATGTGTAATCACTCCCCCTCTAGAGTGTGAGCTCTGTGAGCGACCATACCTGTTTTGGCTCACCTGGGTGACCCAGTGCTTTGCAAGGGTGCTCAGGGATTATGTATGGAATGAAAAGAGTAGGGCCCTGCTTAAAGACACCTGACCAATATTTGCTGACACAGTATTTGATTTGCAGGTTTTCTACTTATGGGACTTCAGAATCAGGTTGTTCACGTTTCTTACTAGAAATGTGCAAAAATTATGTTGCAGAACTAAATGTGTGTAGTTCACCCACTGAGAAAAGTGGATAATGCTTCCAGGTGTTTCTTACTCTATCCCCATATCTTTGGGGCAATTATTTTTCCCTGTGGGAAACCCACCCCAAAGTTGATTTGAATCACACACACAGTTCTTCGGGTCAACAGTTCTTTCGAAGCTGCACCTAATGTGTAAAGCTCAGATGAGGCCAGTGGGCATGATGGGAGAACTTTCCCTGGAAAACTGGACATAGCCAACTTGTTTAGCTATTATAACAAATAAAAGAAACAAATTTTTTCACTTCGGAAAGCATAAGAAATGGAAGAGTTAGTCTTATAGGCCATGAGACAGGGTCACCACAGTCCATCACACGTGCTTGGAATCTGACTGCTTCATCTTCCCCGAGAGCATGGAAGGAACATTTCCGTCTTATCAAGCTCAGGTTGGCATAGGTTTGCTGTGAAGAACCAGAGAGCAAATGGCTTGGGCGTTGTGGGCCATATCATCTCAGTCACAACTGCTCACTTCTGTGGTTGTGGCATGATAACAGCCATGGTCGGCATGTAAATTGGTAGACGAGGCTGTATTACAATTCAACCTCACCGACAGGCACTAAAATTTGAATTTCATAGGACTTTCACGCAACATTAGTCTTCTTTGGATTTCCCCCAACCACTTAAAAATGTAAAGACCACTCTTAGCCTGCTGGCTGTACAGGATCATGCACTGGCCAGGCCCGGACTTGGCCCTGGAGCCACAGTGCACCAAGCCTGTTGCATGGGTGATGCGTGCCATACTTGCAGCCCACTGAAGGGCCTGCCTTTCCCCTGCATGGTCTTTCATGGGTAACTCTTGGAATCCAAAATAGCAGACTTGACTTTTTTCCCTAGAAGTTGACTTTAGACTTTACTTCTACGTTCTGCAGAATTTCCCAGTAGTTTGGCAATTTCTCCCCTTACCTATACAGTGAAAACCATGTACCCATGAAGGGCATCCTCAATTGTTTACTTGTTGCCATATTGGCTTTATCACATAGCTTCCCTCTGTCTGTCCATCACATTGTCTTATTTTATGAGGCATTTCAGTAATTGTTTATCAATTCCCCTGCCATTGATAAACCAGATTAGAACAACTCTGTGCTCATCCTTGCTGAACTTAAGAAGTTAAGGCTGGCCAGGGTCTTACCAGGTTCTAGTGTAAGAGCAGCACCTGACACCTACGTATGCAACCATGGCGACACAGAGTGTTAAAGAAATAGCTGAAATTATGT